CACATTGATGATCTTGTCCTCTGCCCTCCCTCAAGCTCTCGTTCCCATGGTGACCACCCTGGACCTCGTCATAACAAATTAGCACAACTCCCTCAAGGTACCCTATCCTTGGTATCTCTCACATCCCTCTCTTGTAAAATTAGCTTTCTTCTTCCAGAAGCTCCCAGATTTAAAAAATCTCCTGACCCTACCAGGACCCAGGCTCCCTTTTCTCAGTCCCCACCCCCTTCATGCCCTCTCTTCTTCCTTCCTTTCCCAGCTCATACTCCACAGTTGATCATTAATACCTTCTGTGCCTATGCCCTCATCGCCCACGTCCCCCTTATTTCATTATGTTTGCTTGGCTAACCTCCAAATCTGATTTTCTCTTTGCTGCTCTGGCCTATGAACTCAGTGCAGCTGGCCTTGACTGAGAACTTGCATAAGACCACGATGATTTGATGTACTTGAAATCATTTCCCTCACCTCCAGGGAGCCCGCAATGCCACCCAGCAACCGCAAGTATTCCCCATATATGTACCCTCCCACACCACTAAATGATTATTTCACACCTTCCTCTTTCTTCTCACACGTCCAACACTTTCTGCCCCCATTCTCGGTCTCAGCAGACGACCTTGCTTCTTACTTTCCTGGCAAAATTGGAACAATCAGAAGAGAATTTCCACAAACTCCCACTACCTCATTTACCCACCTCCAGCCATCTGTATCTGTATACTCTGCCTTCCTCTGGTTACTAAAGATGAACTTTCTGCTCTTGTCTAAAGCCCGTGTGTAATTAAGAATACCCAGCTGGGGTATGTGGAGGAAGGTCTGGGGAGAGAGTGAGCACGTGAATGAGATCTCCATTTTTTGCTGTTATGAGAGTTGTCATGAATATCTTAACACTTAAACATTTTGAAGTTTGGATTATTTCTTTAGGCTTGTTTCCCAAGAATACAGTGCTGAGAGCAGACCTTATTTTCATGGTGATATCGTTGGCAGTGGGATGGGGAGGCCCCACTGCAGCTTCCGGACTTAGAAGCAGTAGTAGCATTCAGGAGATACGTCTGAATGTATGTTACAGTGGGTCAACACAAATGATAGTTTTAAACACACCCCTTTCTTGAAAAAGTCCATTTTTCATGTTTTCAGAAAAAAAAACCCAAGAATAAAACAGTAGAAAGCTAAAATACTAATTTCGGCTTATACCATGTGTGCCAATTCACAGAAAACAATTCTTGGGAAAAATCACATAATTAAAAGTCTTCCATCAGTAAGGATTTGTGAAATTGAATTAGTGAGTCCTTTTAATATTCTAAGAACTGCACAAGCACCTACATGGCCGACCTTGGAAGGAAAGGAGTAGGTAGAGGGTCAAATTCATCATGGACATTGGCCCTTTGTGGGGGGCTTGCATAGATTTCTGTCATACCTTATGAGGAAGCACTGACATTTCCCTGTGGTGCTTTGGAATTTTTCTAATACACAAGCAATATATTTCCAGTTAAATAAGGTGATTTACCATTTACTTTTTAAAAATCTCTTTTCCATCCCTAAATGCAATAATATCCCAATGAAGAAATGAAAACAAATCTAAAAGAACACAGAAGAAAGCCCTAGATAATAAAATTTGACAGTTTTGAAAAATCTTATTTATACCAAGTCCAAATACCATATGGAAGAATAGAGACTGAGGTAGCTCAATACAGTAAACACCAGCCCATGTGACTGCAAAGGAAAAGGTAACTTGCCTAAGGTATTCCTGGAAAGGCTTAGCATTTAGAGACCCAGGTACTGCCAAAGATAAAAGTCATAGATTGAAAATAAGGGACTTGGCTGAAATCTATGTAAGAAGTTAGATCCTGCTGGGTGTGGTGGCACATTCCTGTAACCCCAACAGTTTGGGAGGCTTAGGCAGGAGGATTGCATGTTCAAAGCCAGCCTCAGCAAAAAAATGAGAGACTCTGACTCTAAATAAAAAACAAAATAGGGGTGGGGTTGTGGTTCAGTGGTCAAGTGCCCCCAAGTTCAATCACTGGTACAGATTAGGAAGTTAGATCCTCCTAGAACCCTTCCCAAAACGATACAGCCAGATGATCAATCTCTGCAAAGATCAGAAGTTGATTCCCTAGTGAAACTGAATAAGATTCCAGATGTGGGAACACCAGGCAGTAAGAACAGAATTCGATGGAAGTTTGCAGTTTAGACCATGAGATCATTTCTGTACCTTGCTCCCAGAACAGATATTTGTGCCAACTCCCCTCCCAGACAATGTTCTATAGGAGGATAATTCTATTTTGCTATTGAATAGTCCCAAAGAAGGAATTTTCATACACTGACATATGTCTCCAAATAAACAGCTAGCTTCTGCACATATTCTGACAAAATCTAACAGTTTATATGCTCCATCCATGCTTATTTCAAATTTTTAGTTCCTTATTTTAAAATTGAGTGGTCAAAATCATAAGACATTGAAGGAGAGACTAACATAATAAACATATTGGAAAAAAAGAATAACAAAAAATTGTCATAACATTTTGAAACAGAAGAAATACCATATTCTTGAAACATGACAGAATACTATGCAAAAAGGAGTGGTAGTATTGATTAAAATATAATAGGCTCTGCTATAGCAATGCACACTCAATGACTCGGGACAACTAAAGTTTATTTCTCATTTACACCAAATACAAAGCAATCAAAAGTTGCTATTTGTTATTTGCTACTCAGAGATGCAGTTATTTTTGCATGTGGCTGGCTAGTCCTCTGCAGAGCTTGTTCAGTTTAGGACACAGTGCTGGGTCTTATGTCATCAACTGAAATTATAAAACAATTGTATTTCTGTGGACTTGATTTTCTTCATAACTCTTAAACTTACTGGTTACAGTATTTCATAGAACAGATATGCAATGTTTTATTTAACCCTCTCTATTGTTAGACGTGTTTCCAATTGTTTATTGTTCTAAATAACTGTTGTGAACACTTTCATGTCTAAATTTTAAATAGATTACATTTTAAAGATATCCATCCTAAAAATATAAAAAGAACAACTTTATGTTTCTGCAATTTTTGGTAGATTTTACAAAAATCAACTTCCACAATAACTACATCTACCAATTCCTAATGTAGCTAGGGATTTGCACACGTGTTTAGCCAAGCATCAGAACTGTACATTTTTTATTGAGTAAAATTTTTGCTAACATGGGAGAAAATGGCTTTGTTTCTGTATATATTTCTTTATAATAATTTTACTTTGATGAATTATCTTTCCTGCTTTGTATCATTCATATAATCAACTTTGCTTATTGTGATTTTCTTATTGCTTTGTATGATTTCTCTAATGCTTTTTCAATTATTTATTTGCCTTTTAGTTATTAATATAGCTAAGTCTTCAAAATCCTTTCACAACCAAACTTGTTGATTATTTGAGTGACTTATTGTTTAAGCACATAGTTCTCTAGGAAGTTAATTTTTTTATTTAATTTATTTTTACTATTTTTTTAATTTATTTAATTTTTTAAATTTATTTTTACTATTATTAAATTTCTTATACGTAAGTCCTCAGTAAAATAAGTCCAATAATCATTTAATGAATACCTCCTCTGATTTAGGCACTGGAGGTGCCAAACAAGAGGTTCTGCTCTCCAGTGGTAAAGAACAATTTGTTACAGCAGCTGCATACATGTTGTCAATCCATCCTAGCAGCATCACAGAGCAGAATTCTTCTTTTCCCAGTGATCTCATATGTAACAAATTCTCATATGTAAATATATTCTGTTTTTTGAGCTATTTACACTGTTCTCATATCAAAATTATACTCTTCTAATTATCATAACTGTTTTCATATCTGAATTCAAGTTTTTCCATTTTTCATGAGTTATGTCTCCTTACAAATAAAATTTTAAATAATTGTTCTAAGTAACCCCAAATATGGAAAATTTTATTGGAACTGAATTAATATGAAGTAGGTAGAAAATAGTTGAAGTCCTTACATTTGGATATTGCCTTTTGGCATATGATAGTTTTCTCCATTTGCATTGATAATATTTGTACTTTAATACTTGTAGAGCACTTAGCAAATTATTGGCTGTTTAATAATCTTTAGCACTGTCTTGATGGTAATGTATATAAGAATTTCAATGATAAAAGAATAAAAGATAATAAAGGCAACTTAATGGCAGAGGAAAATAAAGATAGAGGTGAACACAATGTCTTTCTTTGCAATTTTCAACAAACCAATCTGCTGTTTTAGACAAGCTTTCATTCTTTTTAATAGTTTTAGACTGACTTGCTAAAGTATGTTTGATTTTTGATGATGGTTTACTTTTATTTGTGTTTTATAGGACGTGGTGGTGGCAAGACCCTCACATTTCTTCCTTGACCTCATGTAAGAAGTCCTGCAGTGGAAGAGTAAGTGGAATTCCTTGAAACTGCATACCACCTTCCCCATTTCTGCCCATATCAATATTTAAAAAGTTTTTTTTAATCCCAGAACACAGAGATTAGCACCCTGAAATCTCAAGGATGTAGGTATAGTGAACTACATTACATTCCCATTAATTTAATGGGAATTTAATTCACTAATCTGATTCCTGAAAAGCAAATGAATTATGACCAGTGACATTGGATCATTAAATATGAAACCAAATAGCAATCCTCATTGCCACTACAATACTTGCAAATAAGATGTATGTCTCATGAATTCATAAACATGGGGATTTCTAAATAAACAAATTATATACAGAGTCAATCCCTTAAAACGTGTTTGGTGCTCACACTTGTGGCTATGGAATAGGATGAAAATATAAATAGCTAGTGAATGGCTGAATTTCTATATTAAGTGGGGCTTTCTAATAATTAGGACAATTAACAAATTCACACATTAGATAACTTATGCCAGATCTTGTTTTTAGATTGTTTTAAATAGAGATCTAAAAACAATAGGTATTACTCACAGTTGGGGATAAAATCAGATTTATACTTCATAGAGGGATGTTGAGGAAATCAGAAGATCCATCTACCTGGCTGAGAAGTGTGATATTTTGCCCCCTCCAAAGGCTTGCTCTCTGACTAGCTGTTCCTGGGTCCAGGTTTAGAGGAATAATGAGAAGGATCAAAATCTCTGCACAAAGGTGGGGGGGAATCTATTGTGAATTATATTAAATCTTTGAGAATATACCTCTGTCCATTGCCCTCATGCTGATACTTAAATTCCTCCAAACCCTCCCAGGGATTTACTACCAGAAGAAGAAATGGAGCTGGCTGGCAGCTCCACTGCTGTGTAGAGTTCTTGCCCTTTCCTCTTGGCTTGACCTCTCAAAAAACCTGCCAATATATTTTCTATAGTGGTTGCAACATTTTAAGTTCCCACTGGCAAAAAAAAAAAAAAAAAGCCAGGGGGCTGGGGATATGGCTCAGTGGTTAAGTGCCGCTGGGTTTCAATCACCAGAACCAAAAAAAGGAACCATGAGTCCTTCCCCAAGACTGAATGTAGAGGGCTTACCCTCCCTCCCAGCTACTGGGCTCCTTGCAATCCCCAACGGCAAACACACAGTGTTTGCACGGTCTTTACTACAGGCTCACAGACTTGGAAGAAGCTAGAAGCTGTATAAAGTTCTTATCTTCACTTCTTTTCCAAGGCTCCCGATGCTCTTCCATAGAGGACAACAGACACCCCTGATGGTCTCCCTTGCTTTTTTCCTATGGTTTGTCTCAAACTTCCCTACTTATAGATCTTTCCTCCCCAGCTTCTTTCTTACATGAGTCTGTGGCATCATTGCCCCCAATTTACTGCTATTTTCACATCCTTGACATGGTCTCATCTTGAATGAGGCTTGACTTTGGACATGACTGATTTTGAATTTCCTTGCACTTCTATCATTTGCCCTGAGAAAGATACCTGGGGTAGGGAGGATCAGTCTCTCCTAATACAAAGCTTCCCCCACTACTTGCAGACACACAGACCTGCAGTGAGAAGCAGCACAGCATAGGTCTTCTGAACCCTAGTTGGCCCACTGTGTGAGCAACAGTAAATGGTTGTCATCTTAAGCCACTAGTTATGGGATGCTCCGTTATTCATCAATAATATGTGGACAGGCCTCAGGAACCTACAAGAATGAACTATGCCCCTTCTTCTCAGATGGTTGGTTTTATCTCTGAGTCTCAAGATAAAACTGGCAGTGATATCTCTAGACTGTTCAGGTCACACACTTTCTCAATTAAGCCTGACTTTGGCTCACGAGACTTGCTTAGGCAGACAGCTGTGCCCTCTCAGAGGTTTGCTTGATTGCAATTGATCTTCAGCTGTTTCTGTCCTCCAGCCCACTGCCAAGCATAAGTATGTCTCTCCCAATTACAAAGTTGGGAAGCAGTGAAATGACAGCATGTGGACTGTGGATCCACTAGACCTACTGTGAGGTGGATCTGGGCCAAGACTCCATTTGTCGCCTATCTGGATCCATGTGCCTCTACTCTAACCAGGAATGCACATTTTAGCCATCTCCTTTTATAGATCTTGTTGTCCACTCTGGTAATGATATCCACCTTGCTACTGACATGCTTCCATCATGCCCACTGCTAGTGCAGAGCCCAATTCTGTAACCACACATCCTATCATGTCTTGGCTTACAACAACAGTTACCACTGAGATTCTTGATCTTGCTGAAGCTGCCTTCACCAGCTTACTTCTTATCACCTTGCTAAATGGACTGACCTCTGGGCCCTCAGGAGATCCCATTCAGCATACCCACTTCCCTGAGCATTCTGGTACCTTCCTCCATCATTTGCTACAATAGTTCCCACATTTTTACTTTACTTTGGGAAGATCATTGCTTTTTCCTGTCTTCTAAACACTTTCCCACAACAGCTTGAATTTATGAGGCTCTTACCAGGCATTAATTTGTGGTGGTGGTGCTGTGCCCCACATCCACAAGCTTTTCCTTAACAAGCTTATGTTCTGTTCCCCTTGCTCAAACACTCAAGTGTCTCAGAAACACTCCCAGCTTCTGCTAGTAAATTTTCTCTAGGTCCTGGGGCTTCAGCATATAGCAACCATTTCTCCCTTGGCATGCTCAGCACTTCCTGGTTGTGCTAATCTGAGATCTGATGTTCCTTAGGAGTTAGGCAGTCAGGAGGAGAAGTGGGAACGTATCCTGAAAAGGACTCTTCAGTGTCTTTGAAGGGCTTACTTGATGTCTCTTTAAAAACTTTCAGGCAAGGTGAGGGATGAAGAACTCTAACAAGGGGAAATAGACCAGAAATTTGGCGAAAAAAATCACAAAAAATCACAGTATATCCCTCTAGTGAGATCTCTTGACTGTTCGGGTCACACTTTCTCAATTAAGCCTGACTTTGGCTCACGAGACTTGCTTAGGCAGACAGCTGTGCCCTCTCAGAGGTTTGCTTGATTGCAATTGATCTTCAGCTGTTTCTGTCCTCCAACCTACCGCTCCATCCCAAATGCCAGAGTTGAAGCCTTCTGATTCTCATATTTTGCTTTAAATTTCTGACTAATTGAACTAAGCCTATAATTTTCACTCATGCAACAACTCATCTGATTCCAGGGAACTTACATTAGTTTCCTTCATTTCCCAAATGCCTGAGGTTTGGCACAAGCAAATGCCTCCCCTGTTACCCTAATTCCACTCCAGCTCATTACTGAGAGAAATCTTAACAAATAGTGTGTAGCATGCCAGGTATCATCAGTTCTCCACTTACCTCCACTGGAGGGGTCCTTCTTGCCACCAAGCCAGCCATTGAACAGACTAGAATCCTGTCCTTAGGACTAGTTCCTGGGACACCTTCGAAGCCAGTTGTCTTAAGTTGGGTTCCCAAGCTGCCAGGATTGAGATGAAGATTCTTGTAAGTAACTAGGAAAGTGCTCCTGGGACAAGAGCAGTAAAGGAAGCAGCATAGGATTAAAAACCTTAAAGAAGAGTACAGTGGCTGCTGAACAATAGCTTCAGCTTGACTCTGCAAGGAACCTAGCTATGCTGCAAATCAACCCCGCCTTGAGGCAGGAGGCCAGTCTTTTGTACCACTAAGTCTACTGCCGTTGGCTGAGATCCGCCCTTAGGATTGGGGATGTTACCTCCCCAGTAAAGATGCCTTTGTTTGGCTACATATGGGCTAGTTTCTGGTGGAGGGGCAGCTGTGAATTGTTATCAGCCCTCACAAACAGCAGCCAGGGGATGAACACAGCCTGGCCTGCAAAGAGGATTCAGGTGGGACACTACATGCACATCAAATGCACATATTCCATGCTAAGCTCTTGGATAGTGACTGTCTCATTTAAACTCATATAACTCCATAACGGAGTTATAATGATTACTTCCATCTTACAGATTAAAAAAAAATTAACCAAGTTATTTTCTCATGGTTACACAAGCATCCATGTTTTCAGGTGTAATAAGCTTGTAGATGAAAAAGAATAACTCAGCTGTGTAAAATGAGTGCACGCAGAACTTTTTTATAATATGATCAATCTTTGGAGAATTAAAATGGGGACTCTAGAGGTAGCTAACTAGATTCAAACCCTGGGTTTTCAGTGCTTTGCAAATATACTTGTGAATTTTATTTCCTAATTTATTTATTTGGTACCAGATATTTAACCCAGGGGCACTTAACCACTGAGCCACAACTCCAGCCCTTTTTATTTTTATTTTATTTTATTTTTTGAGTCAGTGTCAGGCTAAATTGCTTAGGGCCTTGCTAAGTTGCTGAGACTGGCCTTGAACTCACAATCCTCCTGTCTCAGTCTCCCAAACTGCTGGGATTACAGGTGTGCAACACTATACCAAGCTTCCCTAAATATTTTTTTATCTCCTCTATTGGTTGTGTGTTTGTGTATGTGTGTGTCTCCATTACTGGTAATATTCAATTAATTGAAGCACCATGTTTCCTGACTCTGTTGGATAATCAGTATTTACAGTTACTAAGAAATTCTCTGTCAAGTAGTAGAAAGACCAGAAAACCAGTCTGAATATAAGGTTCATTTGAATTTATTTATATTGTGTGTGTGTGTTTTAAGCACTTCATACCTATTTCTCCCTATAGTGCAATACTCACCTCAGTCCCCATAATGCAGATAAGAAAACTGAGCCCGCAAGAGGCTTAAACCATTTCACATCAAAGAACTAGGAAGGGATGCATCTGAGAGCTGAACCAGAACTTCCATCCAACATCAAAAGGACAAATGGACATTAATGAGGAAATGGCACATTTTAGATTCATATATATAGAGATAATTGGTAATGCAGATCTCAGTCAGCACAGATCTCAGAATGGGTAAAAGAAATTTTCCACTTTCTCAACTCTTTCACACAGCCAAATCCGAGGGCTAAGATGGAGATGGAAAATTTCAAAAAATACTTATTCACTCAGTGCATCACTGAGCAGGAGAATATTTCTGAGACAAGAAGAAAGAGTCATTAATTATGACTGGCTAAAATTTTTAAAAAAGGTATTTTTCTAGAGGCAGTGCCCTGAGCTGACACGGGATTGAGTGGCTCTGACTCCACAACTTGGGCAAGATCATCAAATTAGTTTCTCTGGCCCAGAAGAGAAGGATGTCTTGTGGTGGGGGTCGGGATCTATTGCCATGGAAACCATGCCAGTCACTTGCCCTGGATGCTGGCTGCCCCAGAATGCTACAGAGCTTCTCTCTGCATTCTCTACCTATTGCCTCCAATCCCCAATGAATAAGTCATCTGCTAAATTCTTCAATGCTTTGTTTTTGAGGTCACTTTCAGAAGGAAGAAAAACTGTCCCACTGTTGCTAGAAGCCCACTGCTGTTTATCCTTGGATAAGTGACTTTGCTTTTCTAGTTATCAATTTCCTCGTTTGTGAAATAATGACAACCCAACCCCCTTTGGATTATTGTGGAGGATAAAATATCATATATAGCTCAACCAATTAGAAACAGAAAGAATTGCGGAAGGGAATGTTACTACCCCATGCAAAACTCTTATTTGCCCTCAAGGACTTTTAAGATTAAAATGAACCCTGCCTAGTATTCAACACCTTCCACCTATGGTCCCCAGTTCCCTTCACAGCCACTCTTCCCCGTGGCATTCCATCTCTCACTAGTCACCCACTGTGACCTGCACTACCTCACTTTTACATTTTTCTAATACTCTCCTACTTGCATTGGTTTCTCTAAATTTTGCACAATAATTGTAATTGTAAGCATTCTATTCATTTTATGTACTTTATCATTTGTTGTAAATGAAACTCCAATTTAAAATGTTCCTTAATAGTTTAATAAACTATCCATTTTAAATGTATAGCTTTGGATTCTCACAAAGTGCAGACACCCATCTAACTACCTTCTAGATAAAAATAGAGTATTATAAACTCTTTACTATTCTTAGGCAAGAAGTCTCCCTGAAACCTTTTCCTAATCTTTATCTCCTTCTCCAAAGGTCACTGCTATATTGATATATAATATTCATACACTAGCTTTTGCATTAAAATGTACATAAGTGGACTCATACAGTATATGTTCTCTTGTGGTATGGCTTCTTTGGGATTAATACCATATTTGTGACATTTATTCATACTGTTGCATGTGGCAATAGTTTGTTCTTTGTCATTGCTGTATAACATTCAGTTGGAATATTTGAATATTCCATTTGTTTGTTTATTCATCTAATTTGATGTATATTTGTTTTCATTTGGGGGCTATATTGAACAATGTCATAGAAACATTTTCATGTTCTTTCTATATATGTGTGTACACATTTCTGTTAACTACACATAGGAGCAGGACTGCTAGGCCTAGAGAATGCCTAGTTTAATTTTAGTGAATACTGTTGGTTTTCCAAAGTGGCTAAACCTGTAAAGAATTTCAAGTGCTCCATGTCCTCACTAACACTCACTAGTGTGTGTCTTTTTCATTATTGTTTTTTTAGTAGATGGATAGTGGTATTTTGTTGTGGCTTTTATTTTCATTTTGAATGACAAATGACTTTGAGCCCCTTTTTATGAGTTCAGTGGATATTTAGTATCCTTTTCTGTGGAATGCCTTTCAAGTTTCTTACCCACTTTGCTATTGGGTTAAAACTGTATAGTTTTAATGGTTTCAACCCATGACTCCTGTGTTGCCTCTCAGCAATTTAAATCTCATCTTTCTTACAGATCCTTTTATATTAGGTAGGTGTAAAATTTCACTTGCCATTGTTTTAATAGTCCCTTGAAATGTGACTTGAGCAGCTGGCTCTCAGAATGTTCAACCTATGAGGGCTCCTGGGACATTTAATTTGACTCCAGAAAAGAAAGCTTTCTTTTTTGAAAATTATATATAGTGAGCATTGGAAATTGATATAAAGGAATCCAGGTGCTAGTAGGTGAAAAGTTTAGAGACAAAATTTTTTAAAATGATACTGCAAGACAATTTTTTTCTCAGACACTATTCAAGTTTTTTAAGTCTTATGCTGTGGTTCACTTATTTCAATAACATCCCATATAATTTCCAGGAATAAGGCAAAGCAAAACAATAATAAAGAAAAATCTTTGGTGACATCACTGAGAATCACTACAAGGAACATCACAATTAGATAACAAACCACACCACTTTAGGTATTTCTATGTAAACAAAAGGTTAATAGTAATAATCAGAGAGGGAAAAAAAGTAATATTTTTCTGAGTTTCTATCTGGTGTTGTATCTGATCAGGGCCTAATATCAAATCCAAACTCTTTTAATAGACAAAAAAGTCAGAAATTAGTTAAATCTGGAGTACCTCATAATATCATGAATCTATTCATCACATATGATGAGCTTTGGAGTTAAGCTCCCTTGAGTGACTCTAAAAATATATATACATGAAACAACCATTTAAAGATATTAGTTAGGAGGTAGCAAAGTAGTAATTCCTGAGAAGCAGAAAACACATGAAGTGAGCTCAGTATTCATCCTAAACTCTTCCTGGGGCAGCACAGAAAAGGGGGTCACACGCACAAAAGAGAGTGGTCAAGAAGGATGCAGAAAACAAAGATCAAAGGCTGAGGATGATGGGTTGGTTGGAATTTGTGGTACTGATACAGGAGAAGCTGTGCAGACAGGAGACATCAACATACTTGCAGAGGTCTCCTTGTTTCAGGGCATGAAAACTGAGTTGCACATACATGGGACAAGGCTGCATCAGGGCATGGCACAGAATAGCTGCCTCCTAGGGGACTCCAAGCTGAATGGGAATGCAAGAGCTTGCATGACAGCAGGAGATGTTGGAATTAACACTAGATAAAGAGAAAATATTTTGTTGAACACCTAAAATATTCAACTGAACACAATAGAGGCCACACTTTAGGACTGAAGACTGTTGCCTACAGTGGGAACTGCTCTAGATGTGCTCTTACATAGCCACACTAGTAATTCTTCTTACTGGTACAGAATTTAACTCCTCTAGAAAGAGATAGCATAATCAGTCTTTCTTCAAAATAAAATTTTGTACATCTAGTGTACAACTTAAATGTATCACTAGATATAAACACCATTCACATTTAAAAAAAAAAGAAAAGCAAACATGAAAGTATTAATCTCTCTCTCACACACAAACACACACACACCAAAAATAAATCCAAGCTTACACAGATGTTCCAGTTAGCAGAAAAGGATTTTTAAAGAAAATATTATAAATACAGTCAAAGATTTCAAGAAAACTATATACACAGTGAGTGCACAGGTGGGGAAATCTCAGCAGAGAACTGATAGACCCAACCTGATCTTTTCTTAAAATTGGGAGCCATCTCACCACAAAGCCATGAAAAGATAATTTTGGCTTTATTGTAAATTACTGCAAATTCTGAACCTGCTTGGAATACCTGCCGGT